CAGTGGCCCAACAACATCCATAGATATTTTGTAAAATGGCTCACTAATGATCGGTGGTTGTCCTAATGGAGCTTTCTCGTCACCACGTCTTCTGGCGGTCTTTTGACATACGTTACAAGTACTACAGTATTCCTGTATGTCCTTAAAAATTCCTGGCCAATAGAATGAATTAACGACACGCTCTTTGGTCTTTTCTATCCCTAAATGTCCCGCAAGTGGTCTATCATGTCCCAATTTAATGATATTGAGACGTAGTGCCTCTGGTAGTACTACCTGGACTCCATGTTGGGCTCCATCACTAGACTCCCATTTCCTACGGAGAATCCCATTTTCCCAGTACAGGGCATTCCTATCTTCCTGCACAGATTCCTCTGAACTTGCAGCTTTTCTCCGAATGTTGGCTAAAGTTGGATCTTCCTGCTGAAGCTTACTAAGCACTTCAGCATTTACAGCAGAAAGTTCAAGCGGTTCCTCTGTTGTGATGTTAACTGTATCATCCCCATTGCTGTGGGATACAGTCTCACTGATGTTGTCAATGTCCTCACCAACGCCATCGCCATGGTCCAGGTCCACATCGTTCGCCTGTCCAACATCACTTCCCTTACTGGCATCCACTTGGTCCGTGTCGGGGTCCATTCCAACTTTTACATGGCATTCCTTTGCCTTGTCCTCAGCTAGCCTTTCTTCAGCAATGTTATTACGATGTTGTGCACGCGTAACAACATTCACAGCCTTTGATTGTCTCTCTATGATGTCTACCCCCAACAGGGCTTCAGCGACAAGGTCAGGCACTAATCCGACCTGAGCATGTCCCTTATAATATGGCGTGTCCATATCAACGATAGCCAGTTTGGCTGAAAACGGCTGTCCAGTCGCTGTACACAGCGTCTCCCGCTGACCCTCCAATACACAACTTGGGTCCACCAGGTCTTCCCTAATCAAGGTCATCGCTGACCCAGTGTCTTTCACGAAACTAATATCACGGCCATTGACCTCTCCTGGGACATGGATAAGTCCTCCCGTGTATTGTCGCACTAAAAAACCTGCAAGATTTTTACCTTCTCTGTTTTTTGGACATTTCCTCGCGAAGTGCCCGTACTTGTTACAATTGTAACACTGCACACTTTTCATTTGCTCTGTCGATTGCTCCTTTCTCTGGTCCCGATCAGAGGTAAAAGTTTTTCCATTTATACTTTTACCTTGCGTTGATTTGTTTATATTCCGTTCAGGTAGAATATAATCCTCTGCGGCTTCAACCACACTGCTCGACCCTTTGTTACGGCGTATCCATTGTGCTTGTGACACTGGCAATGCACTAAGAAAATATTCCTCTTTGAATTTTTCCATGACATCCTCTACTGAGTCCACAAATCTAGTAAGATATTGTTCAATTCTTGCCATAAGTCCTCTGTATGTTTCCTTTGGTTCCCTTTGGGCTGTCTGTAATAGCTTGAAATATTGGTAGGGCCTTTTCCCGTACCTGTCCATTAGGGCTTTACAAAGTTCTTCAAATGACCCATGTGCTTGAATAGCTACCTCTCTGGCCTCACCTGTTAACAAGGTTCTCAGCTGTAGCATTTTTACTTCTTCTGTCCATCCAGCCTGTGTTGATAAAGCAGTAAACTCTGATAAGAATGTCACTATATCCTCACTTTCAGTATGATTATAAGGTTGAAGTTTCAGTCTAAACGGCACAGGGTTAGAATTTGTCTCACACCGTTCCTTTTGAAGTTTTGCTTTTTCAATCTCTAGTTCCAATTCTTTCACTTTCCTTTGATGTTCTCTTTCCTTTTCTTCGGCGTCCATTCTTATCTTTTCTCTTTCAACTTCCATCGTCATCCTTTCTCTTTCGAAATTCATTTGGCGTTCTTTTTCCTCTTTCTCTGCTTGAAGTTTTTCTTTTTCTAAGTTCATTTGGCGTTCTTTTTCCTCTTTCTCTGCTTGAATTTCGAGTCTTCTTATTTCCAACTTTGTTTGTGCTGCCGTCATCTTCGCAGTTTCCGTTTCTTCAGTCGTCGACATATTGAACAGTTCTAATGAGCGTTATATCTTTGATAACGGAGTCCTTCTCCTTAGAATGATCCTTTACCGCTGCCACCAGAATATGTTACCCCTCTATGTTGTACTATCCTTATGTTATACAAAAGACCAGCAACAACCGTTCTCAAGTACAAATGTTGAGTATTAACACAAGTTACAACAATGATAACATGTATGGCCTGAGTATCGAGCTTAACAAGTTACTCCTTCCACGGCCACACCAGGACTGACTCTATTTGCTGTGATCTTAAAGTTTATCCTAAAGCAATTATAATCTAATTCTGATAGGGAAAGTGCCTTCTACTGATCTACAATTAAACCGTGACCAGTTAATGTCTCCATGGTGGAGAGCATGCCCAGCCAATGTTTCACGGCATGATTCTGACACTAAGGTGACCGCAATTAAACTATCTGTCTGATAAGCCAGCCGGTCACATTAAGATTTAACACAAATTATGTTCTACACTTGAGTGACAAATTTCACTATTAACAAATAGGATTATTGATATATCATCAATAGGTGGTTATTTTAGCAAAGTTAAGTTTTTAGGTAGTTTAACGACTAGTTTTGATACATGTAATGATGAATTGCTAAGCATCTCTAAAGATGAACATGTTAAAATGTTACCCCGTAACATCCTCTGTTCTTGTATTGAACATAACAAGTCAGAGTTTGACTTGGGTGGAGTGAATATACACATGTATGCATATGCAAACAGTGCTATATAAACCAATTCTGACAGTACAGTAGCATGTTCTGCAAGTGAGCGTTGTTAAAACTAAGTAAGCAATTAAACTATCTGTCTGATAAGCCAGCCGGTCACATTAAGATTTAACACAAATTATGTTCTACACTTGAGTGACAAATTTCACTATTAACAAATAGGATTATTGATATATCATCAATAGGTGGTTATTTTAGCAAAGTTAAGTTTTTAGGTAGTTTAGCGACTAGTTTTGATACACGTAATGATGAATTGCTAAGCATCTCTAAAGTCGAACATGTTAAAATGTTACCCCTTAACATCCTCTGTTCTTGTATTGAACATAACAAGTCAGAGTTTGACTTGGGTGGAGTGAATATACACATGTATGCATATGCAAACAGTGCTATATAAACCAATTCTGACAGTACAGTAGCATGTTCTGCAAGTGAGCGTTGTTAAAACTAAGTACCTTGTGCATTTTTGTATGTCTATATTGCAAAACTTTGCCAGAATTAAAGCAAAACCCATGTTCCCTAACCAGGAGCATGCCTGTGGTAAATGAATCATTAGATATGTAATTTAGGTTGGACAGCTGCTGAAATTGACAACCCTAATCCTTAACCCTCGAATTTTGACAAGTCCGAACAAAACAATTTTCACATAGCTTGCTAACATAACCTGCTATATATAGTATTGATAACAGAAAGTGTACAGTCAAGCATTAAAATACCTTATTCCATACATATCTGGATCTATTTGTAGAGTTTTGTCAGCTCTGTGTGGCAGGGACTTACCAGGACCAAAAGGCACAAGGGTCCTGTAAATTTTGTCCAGCAGGCTATACCAGCACCACTATGAAGGATCGGTGTGATGTATGTCCAACAAATACATACTCGGATGCACTTGGCAGTACTTGTGTGGCTTGTCCTTCAACAGCAGAGTGTCCATGTCTAGTGTCCGGCTCTCCTTGTCACAGCAGCAGTCTGTGTTACAACATGAAAAATGGAGGCACATACACGGCAGGTTGTCTTTCCTGTCCGCCTGGCTTCACTGGAGACGGGATCACTTGTACAGACATCAATGAGGTAAATAAGAATTGCACCAAGATCTTAAACATACATTTTAAAATTCCTTTGAAAGCTTTTCTATAGATATTGCCAAGAATATTTGGTTGTTCGAAACATCATACTTAATAAAAATGTTCTAAACACAAAAATTTACGATATGATTACATGATTGTAAGATGTTCCAGGATCGTGTAATTTCTATGTGAGTCAATTTTACAGAAATGTGATCATGAGTATACCAAAGTTTTATGTAAACTACTGATAACTGTGATTTTACAAATGTTATACTACTCATAGCTGTGAGTTTACAAATGTTATATCGCTCATAGCTGTGATTTTACAAATGTTATACCACTCATAGCTGTGATTTTACAAATGTTATACCACTCATAGCATATAACTCATATTACAACTAAGGAGAGTAAAACAAAAGTGGCTCGCCAAAATTCAGCATATATTCTAAGACATTGACCACATGTTTTCTATATATGGGGATTTTATATGTTTGAATGCTGATTAACTCTGAAATTATAAAACATTAGAAAATCTGCTGTATTGCAGCATCCATATTGACATAAAATCTTAGGTTATCAACATAGATACTCTATGACTTGTCATTTTGAATTGGTGTACTAAACAAATGATATCTGGACTCCCTAGCTCTGTAGAATAGGCTATGTAACTTTCTATTGGACCTTGCTGTCTACAGTGTACACTAAACAACCCATGCTGGAACAACAGCGCCTGTATAAACACTTCTCCAGGGTACCAGTGCAGTGCCTGTCCCTTCGGCTACACAGGAACTTTCGAGGATGCACTCTCCATGGAGATACACAGACGCACATTTGAGCTGTATAATACTCTTTGGACTAGTGCTAACCAATCATGTGCTGATATAGATGAATGTCTTGTCAATAATGGCGGATGTAATGCCAATTCATTCTGCTACAATACCGTGGTAAGCATCTATGAATTTTCACAAGTCAAAACTTTAACAATGTTCTTTAAAATTGAATTATATCAAAAGGAAGAAAATTCATTATGCTGGATGTGAAAGGACATACAGTACACATGTGTCTCATTATTTCATGGATTAGATTTTTACAGTCACGATACAGTACTGTGAAACAGTGAAAATTTCATCCCTATAACCAAATTTCTGTACAGTATACCAGATCGAGAACATTTGATGTCTTGTAGAAAAAGATCCATTGCTAAATGTGTGTGTTACAGGAAAGATTCTATCTTGATTGTAAAATATCTATTTACAGGGGAGCTACTACTGTGGGTTTTGTATGACTGGCTACATAGGAGACTCTGTTAGTGGCTGTAGGCTGGCTGACTACTGCGCAGCGGGGACCCACCTTTGTAACTCCAACGCCGACTGTGCATACACTGGTCCAGCAGAATATCGTTGTGAGGTACTATCAACAGCTTTCATCTCCTAAAAGAAAAAAAAAGTCTGCACTGATATGCATAAGTAGAATATAGCCTTAATCCGAAAACTGCACTTATTGATCAATTTAAAACCATGTCTACTTTTTCTTTTTTTTGTTTCCTTTCTGCTCCTTATGCTAGAAATGTTAATGGAAGACTTTGTTATAAAAATTGCAAAATCTTGGAGAAATAGGAAATTCAATGACATCTACCTGACTTGTATATGTACAGGTCTTTGTTTAATATTTTTACAGTGTAAAGCAGGCTGGGCAGGAGATGGGTATATTTGTGGAGAAGACACTGATGTGGATGGAAACCCAGACGTAGGACAATCCTGCTCCTCCAGAAAATGTGTGAAGGTGAAAGGATAGTTGTCTTTAAGAAGTTCTTAACAAGAAAGTATTTAATGGGCTGTAAAATAGTTGTAACCTGAAATTTCAGGCTACAAATATACTGGAGAAAAACTTACCAACTGGACACTTAGTCGGGGTGGAAAACTTAAGTCCAGAATGTCCTCAGTCGATAGATTGTGACGTACTTTTTTGAAAAATGTCTTGGTATTTGTTTTAGGACAATTGTCCGCTCAAGGCTAACAGTGGACAAGAGGACAGTGATGGTGACTCAGAAGGCGACATATGTGACTATGACTCCGACAATGATAATATCTTCTTCGATGAGTCAGTAAGTTTAACTTTCACTTGATCAGTATGAATATTTGCGGTAAACTTAACATTACATGTTGTAGATATGGCATTTTATCTACCTTTTTTATCTTACAATAAGCTTGGAGGTTGACCTAACCTTTGGCTCAGTGCCTGTAAGGGGCTTATAGCAGAAAAATAGAATTTGTTGGTAATTCTATGTGCTGGACAAGCAGCCACAAGAGATGGGTGGGTTTATTAGCAGGCATGGGCTTATTAACAAATAAATATGTACATGTTTTGTATCTAGGACAACTGCCCGTATGTGTCTAATGTGAACCAGCTGGACACAGATGGGGATGGTCGTGGAGATGTTTGTGACAACTGTGTCAACAATGCCAACTTTGATCAGGCTGATGTGGACGGAGATGGATTAGGGGATGTCTGTGATACTGACATTGATGGGGATGGTATTCTTAATGGAGCAGATAATTGTCCATATGTATCCAATGCAGGTAAGATAAAAAATCTCCAGAGTTCCTTAACAAAGCAGATAATTGTCCATATGTATCCAATGCAGGTAAGATGGAAAATCTCCAGAGTTCCTTGTTGGAGTGGATAATTGTCCATATATTTCCAATCCAGGTAATTAAGATGGAAAATCTCCAGGACACATGTAACATCCATTAAAGCATTCTTGCTAATTAAGGACGATGAATAAAACTGCTGTTACTTTTAGAGGCATCAAGAGATTACAGGCCTGGAAAAATAATGTGCTTAATCTGTATCAGGTTGAGCTACATCCCCATTTCTGAAATTTATGCCCCTTTTTGCACTTGTAGTGGGGTATGTGAGTTGGCCTCCCCAGATGACTGTTCTAGTTTTCACAAAAATTCATTTTGTTGTACATTACAGCACAGACCGACACAGATTCAGACACTGTTGGTGATAGTTGTGATAATTGTCCATCAGTAGCTAATGCTGCACAAACAGACACCAATGAGAATGCTGTCGGAGATGTCTGTGATGGCAGTGACAGGTGAGTCAAACAGATCACTACATAATACTTATTTATATAAAATACTCACAGATACGGTACAACAATATCTTTGCCAAATTTCATGGCTTTCTATCAACATTGGAATCAGTAATTTTAGCAATGTAATATTTTCACCGTTTTATAATATTATTATAATTTTATTACTTACTTTTCATCATTGAAATTCTCACCTCACTACTCCTTCTTCAGTCTTATGGCAAAAATGGTGAAAATTATACATTTTCAAGAAAACTCATTATACATTACTTACAACAACTCTCCTGTATAGTTTAGATGAGAGGGACAATATTGTTGTGTGTCTATCAATCTCATCCAGTTTAGAATTGGCTTTCATCAAGTTCTTAACCTGTTACTAAGGTGGTCGTAAGTCAAGTTGAGGTCAAAGGTGATGTTGTGCATTTCAGTGGGAAAATTCATGCCTTAGACATATTCTAAGACTTTAGTGTTTTTTATGCCCCCGCCATTTATGGCCGGCATTCATGTCTTACAGACATTTTCTAGTTTAATTTTTGAGTGAGCATTAATTCAGTGAGGGAAAACAAAAACAAAATTAAAAATAAATTTTCTTGTAATATATATATATATATATATATATGTCATGAAGTGAATATAGATATCTAGCAGCATGATTTGGATATATTCTTTCCCTTAACACCAAGAATTTAAAAGGACAAAAATTACATCAACTGGCCAAGAAATCAACATGATAATCCTGTAGACATTTATATGAATTAGGATTAAACATCTTTATGTTCTGTAGGGATGGAGATAGCATCCCAGATGCCCTTGATAATTGTCCTGAGATTGCAAATGGTGAGCAGACAGACACAGATGGGGATGGAATAGGTTGGTACAAATCCAAATATACCTATATACACTTATTGTTGAAATTGACTCTATAACCTTTGTAATTATAATCATCATTATACCTTGATGATGATAGTCTCTCTCGCCTGTTTGATGAAATGATGTTAGCATTGAAGGACTTCAATAAATTTTACTTGTTTGTATCACTTAAAAAAAGTAATATATTTCATAATTTACAACAAAGTGAGAATGATTCTTTTGCCATGAGAACATTCGTTTAAGTTATTAAAACTCATTTTTCATCAACATTTCAAAGCATTGTCATTTGCTCTGTGCTGTCTTGTTGAAAGTAATGTACTTTACAGACACATTTCACCACAAACCACATAAATTGTTGTTTAGATGCTATCAAAAAGATACTAGGAGACATTTTTTCTCTGATAAGAAAACAGACTAATCTTGTTGTGTTTTAGGAGATTACTGTGATACTGATATAGATGGTGACAGTATTCTCAACACAGTGGACAATTGTGTTTATGTATCCAATGCTGCACAAACAGACACTGATGGTAAGTTTTATGACAGGATGGGTCGGACATAATTACTAATAAAACCCTGGTTTTCTCTTACCCTGGAATTCAAGGATATGAAATATTGAAAATGGTTTCTCTTAGACTTAATCATCTCCCCCTCAGGGTGATATCCCCCATCTCATTCTAAAGGGAATGGAAGATTCTATTGATAATCTCATACATTATCTTATACAAACTAAGAATGGTAATTTTTGAGTTTAGGATTATTACTGAATTTTATAGTGTCATTTATCTGTATATAAACTTCACCTGTACACAGGAAACCACAGAGGAGATGCTTGTGAGAGTGACCTTGACTTTGATAGCGTGCTGGATGTAAACGATGTCTGTCCAAAGAATAAAGACATTACAGTCACTTCATTCGCCAACTACATCACATTGGATCTCAACCCAGATTTGACGACAGAGAACGCCTCAGTGTGGTCAATACAAGACACAGGGAGGGAGATCTGGCAAATGCAATCAACACTGAAACCAGTTGCTCTCATTGGTGAGCCTCTTCCTATATATGTTGAGAAATTATGTTTATCTTTGATTCAGATTCTTCAGTTTCTGTCTTTGATATTTTGAGTTTAAAATATTGTGCAAGAGTTATCTGATGACTGAAACAAGCTGTTGACTGTAAACAATTTTGGATTTTTTCATGAATAATGAATATTCCCTGATTTACAAGTCAACTTTTAGACATATCTGTCAAATGTATTAGCTTATGAGTCTATTGTAGTGACAGTATCTGAAAATAGAAATATCCCAACGGTTTGAATATATCCTGGATGATGATGGAGGACTTTTCAAAATGCCCTACATCACTCTGGGATCTCTTGTTGACAGTAAAAACTCATTGATTTCAAAGAAATCTTCTTTTGTTTTAAACCACCTGAAAAATAAAATCAGTTGAAATTCCGATTCTGTTCATGTTGTGTTATCTGTTATTTACAGGAAACCACTACTTTGACCATGTGACCCTCACTGGGACAACTTTTGTGAATCTAGAAGAATGCTACGGAGCGATTGGGTTGATAGTTGGTTACCAAAGTAATACAAAGTACTATCTTGTTACCTGGCGACACATCCACTTCAACCTTGAAGACCGTGGCGGCATCAAAGGGGTGCAACTCTGGGTAAGCATTCATACAAAGGTATATAGACAGGTTCAGATGAACAAATAGTTCACATATGGACATGTGAAAATTTATTTCCTTACAGCATAACAATAATGAATGATGTTTTATAATTAAATGAACAGATATATGTCGGAGAATCCTCAAAATCACCACAAACAGAAAAATACAAAAAGAATGTAAATTCTTTATTTGGTTCCTTAAATAACAATGGTTGCCTGTTTACAGCTGATAGACTCGACCACTGCCCCAGGGACAAATTACGCAAAAGCTCTGTATCATGGATGTGACACTGCTGACACTTCTACACTCCTCTGGCAGGACCCAACTCTAACTGGCTGGGAGTGTATTACTGGGTACAAGTGGACTGTACAACACAGCCCCTCAGTGGGCCTCCTTAGGTAAGTGAACCAGTGAACTATATATACTACACAGTCTCTCAGCCCTTAGGTGAGTGAATCAGTGAACTGTATATACTACACAGCCTCTCAGCCCTTAGGTGAGTGAACCAGTGAACTATATATACTACACAGTCTCTCAGTGGGCCTCCTTAGGTTAGTGAACCAGTGAACTATATATACTACACAGCCTCTCAGTGGGCCTCCTTAGGTGAGTGAACCAGTGAACTGTATATACTACACAGCCTCTCAGTGGGCCTCCTTAGGTTAGTGAACCAGTGAACTATATATACTACACAGCCTCTCAGTGGGCCTCCTTAGGTGAGTGAACCAGTGAACTGTATATACTACACAGCCTCTCAGCCCTTAGGTGAGTGAACCAGTGAACTGTATATACTACACAGGCTCTCAGCCCTTATGTTTGTGAACCAGTGAATTATTTTTTCTGCACAGCCCCTCTGAGAAATTCTTAGGTTACTTAATGGTGGCCTGTATATACACCACAGTCCCTATGTGGGCCTCCATTGCTGGGTTTGTTAATCAATGGACTGACTGTACAACACATCGTCTCTATAGGCCTCCTCAGGTATGTTAGTCAGTGAACTGTCTTTGCAACAAAGCCTTGTTATGGGCTTCCTCCGTAGGTGAACCAGTGAACTTTCTTTGCATTAAAGCCTGGCTGTGGGCCTCCTTGGATTTGTCAACCAGTGAATTGTTTGTTCAACAAAGCAAGCACCTCTAGATCTGTTGGTCTCCTCAGGAAAGTTAACCAGTGTTTTTGGTCTATTAACACAGCTAAGAAGGAGGTCTCCACTGATACATTTGCCAATGTACTGTTATAGAATACTATTATGAAAGAATATCCATTTTACCATGCTTTAAGATGATAATTTTGGTCATTTTCCTTCTTTTAAAATTTAAGTAAAAGTGTTATCGTTTCAGAGTGCTTATAGAACAAGGAACGACAACCATTGCCGATTCTGGCTACATATACAATGTTGCTATCAATGGTGGACGCTTAGGTGTGTTTTCTTATAACCAGACCCAGTCAGTGTGGTCTAACCTCCAATACAGATGTACAGACAGGTAAATCTTCTCAAATGTTTTCAGAGATAAAATGGTATGTCAATAATTCTTACATACTTATATACCTCATGTTGAAATATCTTTTTCTTTGAAACTAATAGCAGGAAGAGGGCCTGAAAAATTGAAGGAGTTATGATAGTTTGTGCTTGTGTAAGTCTTCTTTCAGTTGACTCTTACGTTTATAAGCACCTGTTCTATACTACCACAAAATGAATATCATTGATTCACAGGCACAGGAGACATAATACAATTGTAGCAGAAAACACAATTTGAATATGAAAACAAATCAGAATAAAATTTCAGCATTAACACTTAATACTTACTGGGTGTATATATTAGAAACAAGGGATTTTTTTAGATATCGCACTGGTAAACCAATTAAGTAGAAGATGCAGGCTTAATTGGTCATCTTTCCTAGGAAATGATGATACAGAGTGTAAATGAGGGTTGAAAGGGCAGCTGTAGGAAATGATATTATCTTATGATGTGTTAATTTTTTTCTCTCTCTAAACAGACTGAACTATGCTTTGGAGTTCGAAGGATCAAACACCTATGGAGAAATAGCTAATCTTTCTAACCTGGCTATAGTGAAAAGGTATGCTGTTTCTTGTGGCCATATATAGCATAAAGTGCCTCAAGGAATGCTTGAAATGTGGCTGAAATCTGTTATATATTAATTTCACATAACCAAAAGAAATTTTCAAGCAGAACTGATTTTCATCAATTGCTGAGCTATAATTAGATGATTTCTGTCATATCAGAGGGTGTTTGTTTATTCATTTTTTTGTGTGTTAAAAAATGAAAAATTTGATAATTATCTAAGTTTTGTTATGTATTTGCATTCATAATATTCAATGTTCATATGCCTATGTATACAAAAAATGAAGTTCTCATCTCCATTTTCCAGTTTTACTTTTGAGGCCTGGATCTACCTACCGAGTAGTGCTCCCTCAACCAAACTACCAATCCTGTGTACCCTGTCTAAGGAACTGTGTCTGTTTATAGAGGACAGCACCTTCCACACACAAATTGGGTCACATATTGTAGATGGTAGTACGACAATTACTGCTGACACCTGGACACACATAGCCACACGATACAACGCTCAACGTGAGTATCACACACTGTCGCAACACATAGCCACACGATACAACACTCAACATGAGTATAACACACCATCACATAAAACTGCTCAATGTGATTATCACACTGTCATACACTTCAATGGTCAACATGAGTGTCACACACTACATTGTAGAATGCTCAATATTAGTATCACAAATTGTCACATAAAACTCTGATCAATGTATCACACACCATCACATAAAACTGATCAATGTGAGTATCACACACCATCACATAAAACTCTGATCAATGTGAGTATCACACACCATCACATAAAACTCTGATCAATGTGAGTATCACAAACCATCACATAAAATTCTGATCAATGTGAGTATCACAGCCACACACAACCTTCCAAGTAGTTGAGATATAAAAAAAATGATTGCTTTTACATTAACATGTATATTTGAACCCTTGTGTCCTATGAGGCAAACATTTCACTCTTTTAGTTTCATTATGAAAACTTACAGCACCACTAAATATAATTTTAAGATCTGCAACAGATAATGTTTATCATTAAACAATCATTGATATGTATGCCTGCTTCAAATTTGATGTGTTGCACACGTGAAATAAGGAAACAGGACACTTACAATATCTTCAGGGTCCAACACAGTTAAAATATGCAGCCAAAAAATTAATACTGAAATTTTACAGCTAAAATTAAATCATGCTTTGTCTGCAGAGGGAACACTGACCATGTTTGTTAATGGTGCTGATGGTGGTGTCACCAAGGATGTAGAGAATACTACAATGGCAGAGGTGACATGGGTATGTAATCTGTTCAAGTCTCACCTTTTGTGGTAAATATGAAACATTTTGTAAATTGTATGATAAATGTTATCTGTAATCTATATCTTACATTCAGCACATTAAAACATAGGTAAATTTTTGCCTTTTTTTGCCAGGATCCTAATTTGACTTTGTATATGGGAAGAGACAGCAGTAATTACTTCAATGGCAAAATTGATGAGGTATGGTATTTTTATCAGAGCAACTTTACTCTTGCTCATTTCTTATCCCTTAGTGGAAATTTTATAAAAGAACTATCCTTAAAATGAAGCCTACATAATTTCTATTTATCAAGTTTAATTGGTGAAATTTATGAAATTGAACCAATTCCATTAGCTTATAATCCCTGTGAGTGACTTGATGACACCAGGCCCCACTTGTATAAAACATCTCAACTTGAGATTTCCTCAAGTCGAGATTTTCCTCTGCTGATATCTCCTTGAAAATATCTTGTATGAAAATTCCTCAAGGAATTTCAGGACATCCTAGCCGAGGACTTCCTCCTGTTCCTTGAGAAAATTTTATACAAGCCGTTTTTGAGGAGATATCAGCAGAGGAAAATCTCGACGTGAGGAAATCTCAAGTTGAGATGTTTTATGGTGTCATCAAGTCACTTACAGGTATTATAAGCTAATGGAATTGGTTCAATTTCATAAATTTCACCAATTAAACTTGATAAATAGAAATTATGTAGGCTTCATTTGGTATTTCAAACCTCTAATATTTGGGGAGACAGAATTCTTTAGGCCATTACAGCAAGCCAAAGTTCTGACAATTTTACATTAAGCTGTTAATTCATTGACATTACTCAGTATAAATGACCAGAAAAATGGACACTAATTGTTAAATTTTAAAGAGTTCAATAACTGTTGGTGTGACCATTTGTGTTATAAGGTGAGGATCTACAACGTTCAAATACCCGATACAGAGATTGACTCCTACTGGCAGAAAGCAGGAATGGACCGCGAGTACAAACAGTTCACATTGTCAGCTCACTACACAATGGATGGTAACACACAGAGTAAGTAGTATACACAAATTGTGAATGGATAGTGGTGGTCAGGTAACACAGTGGTAACACCTATGTGCGTGAAATGTATGGAATAACATGTATTTTCATAAAATATTTTAATATTGAATACATAGTCTAAAATGTTATCATTTCATATTTGAAAGTTCAAACATGTCTGCATTTTAAAATGACCAGATGAACTGATGGTGGCATGTTGTGTATTTCAGCAACATTATTAACAGATCAAGGTCCCTTGAATCTTAACGTAGCACTTTATGGATCTCCAGCGTTTGTTGAGGTAAGAAATTAAATATTTTAGTTTTCATTTTTGCTGAGAAGAATAAAAAGGATTTTCATGATAATTAAACATTTTCAAAAATGAATAGCTTAGAATGGTGGTGAATACCTTTCTTCCTGCTAATAAACTGAAACTGAAAACTCGTCACATAATTAACCTCATTTTACGTAGTTTCCACACAGTTACAGTATCTGGTTTTCTGTTGATGCCATATAAAAATGTTTTATCATATTGAATTATATTTTATCTGAAAATTACTCTTTTTTCTTTGTAGAGCACCACAGACTACTTCAGATATTATCACACCAACAACTAGACAAATAAGAACCTGATGACAAAGACGTATATTCATGGTTCTGTTCCATTCATAATATTTTCATACAGAGCAATGTAAAACCTTTCAAAGTTTGCATATTACTTTGTTGGCAAATTATAAAATGTTTGCTTAAACTAGAAATTGTTGGATTAAGATAAAACGGTAACTATATTCAATATTTTTGTTAAAAAATACTAAACTATATTCAGACGTTTCCTTATATGTCAACAGATTGTTGCGATCTATCTTTAATGATTGTTTATATTAACTTATATCTACCTGGTAGTTTTATTCGATCAAAATTACCACCATCCTCTGTGTTATAATAGGAATGAGAAAGTCACAGTCAATTTTTTTTGAACTTTTTATCATTAGATATATAGGAAATGATGTTAAAACCTAATTTCTTAAATTATTCATGAAATTCAATAAATCAACATCTTTGTTTTTTTTGTTATTAGAAAGATTCTTTGCCCTGCATATTCAGAAATTCCATGTCATCAAAATTTTTAAGTTATGGTGACATCTCAATCAAACATAATAAAACCATTTAAGTTTTATGTGATAAGTGATTGTATAGAAACAACTGTATGAAGGATTAATAACAAAGTGATTTATCATTAAAATGATATCTTCAATCAATCCATAGTGACTAGGTGCAATGTGTTATAACTGAATTGAATTAACAAATATTTACCTGGTGCCGTCGATGAAGCAGAAGATGCTTAATCTTCAGGAATGCCTGGTCTTATCCTCCTTGTTCTATTTCAGGAATCTCCATAGATTTTTGCTTTGGATTATGATTTTATTTACATGGTGGAATTTCTAGTTGTTGTTTTAGATCTCTGCCAGATTATTTATGCATTCACAGCAAAAGATAGTACGTTTGTAGCAGTACTATTTCAAATTGATGTCAATTATTACCTGTTATCAGAATTATCTTAAATAGCAAACTGCTTATGCTAAAACCTGCCTGCGACAATTCACTGTTTTAAAATACATTGTGTTGGCATTAATTATCATTCTGTATTGTATATTAGTTTTTCCAAAATGGTCCTACATTTTTGAATTGTAGAACCTTGTTTGATAAAGGGTAAATAAACAAAACCAACGGGATGAGAATTAAAAAGGGTTAATTTATACACCTGTGTACTTAAGGAAGGGGCGGGAATTTATATAGAGTTTAGTGAAAATGTTCACTTGCAGCCAAATTCATCCATGTCTTTTTCAATTATCCATTGTTATGTATAATTTCATGTCGCTAAGGTTTATTTTACCTGTAAAATGGGAATTAAGTTTTAATTCTGACCGGAAGTAATAGATAAATGTTTAGTTATACTCCATAGATCACAGTAAATTAGGTTGATTTTTGTAAAATTTTATACAATAATTAATACACTGGGATGATTAACAGATTTATTTCTTATATTTTCCAGTATTTCTTTATTTGATGTAATTGTACAACTATCAATATGTTAATGTCTGATTTCAGTGCTTAGGATGGCCATTTTCATATCTTAATAGTGCTTGGTTATCACCTAATATAAAGTATATTTCACATAAGTGCTAACATTCAGAAAAAAGTTGTAAGATTCTTATAAATTAAGAACTAAGCCATTTATTGATTTATTTGTTATCAGTTTTCTCAGGAATATTTGTGGACATGTAAACACTTTTTATCTTGTAACTAAAAGTAATTCATTGATAAGGACAATTTTCCTTTCTGTTTTGTTTTGTTTTTTGTTTATTTATTTGTGATTTTTTTACTATGATCCGTCCACTTGTACATATTTTGTGTACAAAACTTATGTTTGTCCCATGGGATTTAGCCACTTTTAGACGTCTTATCAGCTTGTTTTACATTAATTAGAAATGATCACGTTTACACTGTATTATTGTCTCACAGTATTTACCTTCAGTGCTGGTCGCTGATTCATCATGATTATTCATTTTTTATACATTCTATATTCTATTTATAGTTTCAATCCGTCCAACATGTAAGAAAGAGTAGTGCTTAATCTTGTTATCTTACAAATTAACAGATCATTTATGACCTGAAAAGTTGGAATTTAGTTAAAATCAAAACTAGGGAGTAGAATGATATATCTTTGGTATGTGTATGTCACAGGTCTTAGATATAATTAAGTAACCTGTATGACTTTACTTTAGAGAAAATAAAATATGATAGATGTTTAAAGAAAATGAAATATGATAGATGTTTATCAGTTAAGAAATTACTAATGAGATGATGGTTTTATTGTCTTCGTAAACTCTTGTTTGTAAGAACACTGTAAGTGAACTAAGACAATATTAAGATCGATTCCATTTCAAATTCAACATCAATCATTTCTGACTCCCATCTATGTTACCAAATCAAATTGTAGAATTTTGATATTTTCCTTAGTTTAATATTTTGGAATATGTTAATTGTGAAATTTTATTGCTTCAACATCTAATTATCTTATCGTTACTTACTAAACAATATATGTCTTGATGATGAGATCTTTTATTTTGACAATGCATATCTGAGATATGTCAATTTACACACGTTTCTATTTATACAATAAACAATATTTTTCTAGTTTGTTGTTCCTTGTTGTTTTTATACATTATATGTTTACAGTGATCGATTCTCTGAAATATAAATATAAACATGTGTCATTATCTACAGCATCAACAACAAATATACATGTATGGACAGATATTTTACTGCTTGAAAACAAATTGTCAGCATTCAAATAAAACCATTGTTATCATCTAACGCAGAGATCAAACTGAATCATAGTTATCACAAAATGCAATGATCAAACAGAACAATAGTTATCAGATTAAAGGAATTATAATAATAAAAAAAAAAAAACCCTCAAAAACAGTGTTATTATAAAGGGGATATTCAAGTTTTCCAAAGTCATGAGAAAAATTAAATAACATTCAACTTAACTGGCAACTCAATAACAAAATGCATTGTTTTATATAAAGGGGATATTCAAGTGTTCCAAAGTCATACGAAAAATTAAATTACATTCAACTTAACTCGCAACTCAATAACAAAATGCATTGTTTTGTCGTAAACACAGGAGAACCAGATATTCCATTGTCAGCTGAAACCATATGTTCATTGGATCAATCTGTTCCCAAATAATATTGATGGCATAATGAGCATAAATGGAAAAGACAACTGCATACACTCTGCGCCAGTCATCTACTTTGTTAAACAGAAGAAGTAAATTTATTGCATCATATTTATGTTTATATGATTGAATGAGGATGAATTGTAAACCAACTGATGAAAAAAATTTCGTTAGTAAGAAAATATTGTAATGCTTCACTTTACAATTCCCATGGTGAAGTGAACCCCACACCCACCTCCCCCCATCCCTGCCACCATAAATTTCCCCACCCCAAACCTATTTTTTGCTGTTTATGTGTTTATATGATTGAATTGGGGTGAATAGACAAAATATTTTTTGAAAAATGTTGATTATTAAGAAAATAGTGTAATGCTTCACATTACTATGGCCATGGTGAAGTGAACCTCCCTGCCCCACCCTAAATTTCCCCTCCCCAGTCATATTTTTTGTTATTTATGTATTTATATGATTGAAACAACTGATGAAAAAAAGTTCGTAAGTAAGAAAATAATGTTATACTTCACTTTACTACCAATGGCCATACTACAGGGGCATTCCATACAGACTAATATGTTAAGGATAGTCTCACCTCGCATGACAGTTCTTTATATATATATGTATATCGCTTCTTCATTTGATTTGGAATCGGTTTGTTTGATTATATTCCTCCGCACATCTTAATCATGAAAACATTAGGAGAGGGAAAGTTAGGATGGAGCAGAGGTTTTTGAAATAGATTACCAAAATATTGGTTTCAGGTACACACTAACCTTCCACCTCAAATCCTGATTCCGTGTTTCTATCGTTTATTTAGTATCAGCTGGGTCGTTGTCCTTACGAAGGAAAGTCTCCTGAGTAATTGGTTAGCAAATAGTATCGCAATTTAAATTTTCATAAAATCATTTGTAAAACAGCTGAATTTGAGAAAACATTGGATGTATTAATACTTTTAACAGGATTTAATTCAAGATATAATAGCTTACTGCCATATATGTTAATAGCCATTTCATCATATATAACATAAAGCCGGTTATTTTCTCGGGTCAATATTTTTAGCGATTCCACGGCACAGTAACATTCACGTGGAAATTTTACTACTTGGAATAATGATTGTTTATTAGATGTCATTTCATCCAGATTGCAAAAATTCATTTCGTTAAAATCGATCACTTTAATAGAAAACCTCAAAAATTTTGACTCCTGAAATTACCAGCTATACAGTATTATATGTAATATGTCGAACAAAAGCGGTACTACAGTTATATACATTTA